GGCGAGGCCTCCTGCTTGGGGCGCCCGTGTGCCCGAGTCGCTTTGGCCTTGGGGATGACAGCGGGCTGCAGCGCTGCTCGGTGTGCACGCTCGCGGGTGGACGTTGGCAAGGCCTCACCGCCCCGAGTCAAGGAGACCGCCCGGGCCCCAGCTGGTGTGAGAGGTTGACATGAAGCCCAGGGGTCAGCTTCCCAGCCGTGGACACGGGCCAGCCTCGGAGGATCCAGCGAGTGCGGCTCCTGAACGGTGTCCTGCTGAGGGGGCTCTGCCCTGCACAGAGCCTGGGTCCACCCGCCTGGGGGACACAGGCCATAAATGCGCATGGACCTGAAGTCAGCTAGGACTCGTGGCCGAATTTGAATTAGAAGCAGGTAACATTTGTCTTTTCCCCCTTCCCGGTGGAGGGTGCTCAGTAAAGGAGGGTGTGGCCGTTGATGAAAATGGGGTGGACAGAGGTACTACCCACAGGTTGGCTCTGCTTCAAGGAGGCAGTGAAGTTGAGTGTTGCCCAGAGCAGACACCTCAGGGGTACCTGGGAGATTGTTACATGAAGTTGAGTCTTGGAGGAGAGTGGACTCGCCCACATTCTCCACATTCACACAGCAGTTCTCTGCTTTTGTCAGGTCAGGTGGGGGTTCCAACTCAAGGTGACCCCAAGTAAAAGTGGTCCACCTCTCAATTGTGTTGAGCCCATTGCTGCAGCGGCTGTGTCTGCACACCTCCACCAGGGGCTTTCTGTGCTGCTGGCCCTCCAGTTGGCCAAGCATGGTGCTTTTCTCCGGGGACCTCCTCTGCAAAGCCTGTGGGAGGAAGTCTCACCATCCTGGCTCTGAGGAACATTGTTCTGGCAGTCTGTGATATATTTAATATTCTTTGCCAGTATCATAATTCAGAGGCATCATTTCCTCTTCAATCTTCCTTATTCGGTGTCTGACTCCGCGTGCATATGAGGCTCGGGCCAGGCCTGCTTTTGTCTTCAACATCTTTGCTCCGTAACACCGTGAAGCGCAGCAGTCTTGACAGCTGCTCTGAGGGTTGCTGGTGGAGCCAGCCACACTTGTACCCTTGACCCAGTCAGCCTTTGTGCTGGTACCACCAGGATGCCCTTTGGCCCACAGGTGGGGAGTTTGTGTCATGCTCAGTTGTAATCCTTATGGAAGGCTGTAGTCTCTGGCTGTCATTCGTGTGTCTCATCCCCACTGAGTAAGCAGGTGAAGGAAGAAGTCAGATCTAAGGACACAATCTGGGAGGACGTGAGGGAGGTGGCCTCTTCTCTTTTTTTTTTTTTTTGAGGTGGCCTCTTCTTGACAGTGTGGCCTTTGTGGGCCCTACAGACACCCTTCATGAACATTTCGAATCTACTATCACTTTAAAGTTGCCTTTGATGCTTCATGTTTTTGTTTCTGTGCATCGTTTTAAATGGCCATCACAAAGCATAAACTTTTATTTAGACCTATTTTTTTCTACTAGTCTGTACTTGAAATAATCCACAAAACCACACACTCTTCTCCACAGGAATTAGCCTAAGTGGGCACAGGGGATTTGGTGCCGGGACCCTCCTAGACCTGGGGCAGTCTGTGGTCCAGGCCCATGAGAACAGCAGGACACCCTGCTGGTCCTGCCCACCTCCCTGTGGTTAGGTGTGCGCCCACGGTGACCGCCACTGGGTCTGTCTATCTCATTCCTCTTTCTTGCCGACCACTGACTTACCAAATAAGATGTCCTGGCAACGTGTGCAAAGTGTACGAGACAAAGTCTTGCCACCCTTCTTTGTAAGGAGCTTGTTGGTTTTGTTGTTTCCGCAGTAGTGCGTGTCCCGGAGTCCACAGCAGTGTCAGTGCCGCTCACCAGGAGCAGCGTGCCCAGCATCGGCTTCTTCTGCCTTCTTTTCTTCCTCCAGCTTCCGTGTGCGAGTGTCTCCTGCTCACGCCCCCGGTCCATTCCAGCTCAGAGTGACCCTGAAGGACAGAGAGCCGAGGGAGCCTCTCTCTAGGGTTAGAAAGCCTCTCTGTCTCCTGGGGAGCAGCAGGTGGTTTTGAACTGCTCACCTTGTGTTTAGCAGCCCAATGTGTAAGTAACCACTATGCCATCAGGCCTTTTTTCAAGTAGCCTACTTAATTTTCTTAAATGTAGCAATATTGTGAGCATTTTCCCATTTTATGAAACAGTTCTTGAAAACATAGTTTTCAGTGGATGTATAATATTGTTATAGTTGAAAAAGGCATATTGTCCACTGTTAGTTTTTCTCGCCCCCATTACTTGCTGTGTGAAATAGTGGGGAGCTACCCATAAACTGGGAGACAGACGGGGCTTTCTACACCTGCAGCAGAGTCTGGGAAAGCCCCAGGGGTAGTTCTGCCCTGTCCCGCAGGGTCGCTATGGGTTGGGATCAGCCGGAGAGCGGTGAGTGTCCATACACATGTCTTTGTCTTGACTTGCTTCCCTCGGAGAGATGCTTGGAAATGTGCAGAAAACCTTCCTGCAAGGGCCCACCTTTGGGACTGGCTTTGAGGGGGGGGTGTCTCCAGTATCCTCAAGTGTTGGGGACTCTGCTGTCCTCTCTCATCCCTCCAGTCTGGGAGTTTCCATGGACCCACAGTCCTGAGAGGAAGTTGCGAGGAAGGCTGGGAAATGTAGTCTTGCTGCATGCCCCGAGGGGCCAGAAGCAGGGATTGATGAGCCACCACCATTGTCGGGGGCATGCCCTCACCCAGGAAAGAGGCCCACCTCAGCTGGATATAGAGTCTAACCCATGGGGTCCCCCCACATCTGTCCCCTCCTGCCAGGTATGCCCCCTTCCCCACTTTGTGTGCCCCAGGACGGCACTCTGTCTACATCCCTGTCTGTGACCTCTGTCTTCCAAGGCCCTTTGTCTCCCAAGGAATCCTACCTTCCATCTGAGAGCACCTGGGATGTCTTTGGTGTCCCCCCCACCCCCAGCACCTATTCGTTAGAGCCCCACCCCTCGGGGTCCCCTCCCTGGAAGGCTGCTGCCGCCTCCTTCCTTTACCCCCCCCCCCCACGCACACCTGTTTTTGCTGTTGCCACAGGTCAGCCTGTGGAGTGTCTGCACGGGAAACCTGGAGTTCCGTCCCTGGAGTCAGTCTTTCCTCGCTCGGCCGTGCTGCCCTCACGGCCAGCTCTTAAGGGCTGCTTTGCAGCCGCCTCCACGCTCCTCCACCACTTCCTCAGCTCTCCCTGAAACCCTGCCCTCTGACTGGTGCTAGCAGCCTGGACGTGGTCTCACTGATCTGCCTGATGGCCATCCCAGATGCTAACCGTGTGACCTGTGTTGACCTTCCCTGTGGCACCTGCTGATTGCCACGTCCTCATCCCAGGGGCAGGCAGTGACTGAATGTGGCTCCGCTAGCCGAGTCTCTAGCTCTACCAAATGACTCCTGGGCCTGGGTCTGGTGGAAGGTGGTGACACGGAGGGGACTGGGCCCTGGGTGCTTGTGAACAGGAACCCTTGCCGTGCCATCCTGTGGGGTGGAAAAGGAGCCTTCTGAGGAGCAGGTGGAGGGATCTCATGACCAGCAAGAGCCAGGAGTGGGGCACGTCCTGTGGACCCAAGAAGGCTGTGCAGTGAACCTCCTGGACCCAGAAGACACCTGTACCATGGTGCAGAACCAGGTGCAGCAGCAGAACCAGGAGCCAGAGTATGAGACGGAGGGATGGCCTTCCCAAAGCCCATGGAGCACGTGACAGGGAGAGCCTTTGTGCAGGAGGCGGGTTTGCAGTGGGGTACCTCTGGACACTCACTTGCTGACCCATGGAAGTGGAGCCGAGTGCCTTTGGGCTGAGGCTTACTGGCTTGGGGTGCCTCTGGGCATGGAATTCAGGAAGCTGGGTTTGCTTAAGCCGAATGCCTTCGGGTTGAGGTTTACAGCAGAGTGGTTTGCCCTTTGGACTATTTATTGGCAGATCTCTAATGACAAAGAGAGAAAGGCAGAAGTTGGCAAAGATTTCACTTTACTGGATCCACACTCAACGCCCATGGGATTAGCACTCAAGGAATTAAACCAGGTAGTGAGGGACACAGGATCTCTTTGGAATGATCAGAGATGCTGCTTTGAAGATGAAGGTGTGCCTCACTGAAGCCATGGCATTCCCAGTGCCTCATGCTAATTAATCTGGGCAGTGAATCAGGAAAATGGAAGCTGATGCCCCAGAGTGATGAGATTGGTGAAGAATGTTGGCTGTGTACCAGAAGGACAAAGCTGCCTCGGGAGAGGTACAGCCAGTGCTCCCTAGAAGCAGGGATGCTGAGACGGTGTCAGAAGGGGCCAGTCCTGGAGGACGCTGGGCTTGGTGAAGTAGAGGGTCGGTGAAACAGGAAGGCCTTCAGTGAGCGTGACGCAGCAGCGTCGACAGTGGGCTCAAATAAACAGCGAGGATCACCGGGACGGTGCAACGGGGTGGCTAGGAGTTGCAGCCGTCTCCCAGTAGCTAGTGGAACTCCACCTTGTCCTCACTCAGTGCTGGGGATTCCCAGGGTGCTCCTGCAGGTGTGTCCACTGTTGGCACTGTCGCTTGCTGATCCCTGCTCTAGTTGAGGCTCATGGCCCTTAGCCACCAGGCCAGACGTCACAATATTTGTGGATAAATGGAATTGACAGTGAATGGCATTTTTCCATGAACTTTTTGAAGCCCCCTCGTGTTCTGGGTATCTTGGCTGGTGTCACTGCTGGCCATCTGACACCACGCCTGACACACCTGGGACTCAGCTCTGGACTTGTGCCTCACCTGTCACAGCATCCTGTCCTTTCAAGGCCATCCTGTAGGCTAATAATGTGCCTGACACCTTGCCGTGTGTGCTTAGGAGTCACCGCCTGACTCTACAGACTAAACTGTTGGTAGCACAGCCGGCAAAGCACTGGCCTGTGAACTGAAAGGCTGCCAGGTTGAACCCAGCAGCTGCTCAGGAAGAACGAGGTGCAGTCTGCTCCCGTAATGAGCTCTAGCCTAGAAACCCTGTGGGGCAGCCCTGCTCCATCCTGCAGCGTCTCTGTGAGCGACAGTCAGTCTGGGTGCCTGGGGCTTGGCTATTTGCCCCCAGGTTGGTTGGTGCATTCTCTCTCTCTGCATGTTTTTTCCTGATTCCTCTCTCGGGGGAGGAGGATAGATTTGAACATGGAATGCCGTGAGACCAGGGTCTTTGGTTGCATGTGAGGACACACATGAAGAGCTCTGTGCCTTTAGACTTTTCTGAGAAAGTTGTCCTGGGTGGTACTCTCCATACCCCGGGGCGTCCTCCTGATGGCTTGGCCGCGGGCTGGGATTAGGCTCTCCTGTGTGGGCCTTCGGTTTTCAGGAAGCCTTATGTGTTAGGCAGAGTTCTCTATAGAGAAATTAAAACAGGGCACTTACGGTTTATTGTATATATTTACATACATAATATTTTATACACATACAATAACTATATGTAATATGTATTTACATGTAAATAATTTACATATATATATATAAATAAATACATATGGATAGATTTACACAGCATGAAGGAATGTAACAGTTAATTAGTCCACACAGCAGTACAGAGGGCTCAGTTCAAATCACTTCTGTGGAAGAGTTAACTAACGTACTAGAAGTCCTTCAACTCATGAGGGCTGCTGGGTCCAAGTTAAAGCAAACAGACAGCTGAGTCTTCCCTCAGGCAATCTAGGCAGTCTGCCCAGAGGCAGCAAACAGCAGGGCAGGTGCTTAGCAGAGCAAGCCTCTATGGGATATTGAACTCAAGCAATGCAAGACAAGAGGGACCGACAGCCCCAAGCTCAAGCAATGTCCGCACCAGCAGCGTGGCGAAGCAGGTCTCAAAGGAACTTCAAGCTCTAGTGACATCATCCATGGTAGTGTAGCTCACAAGTTGAGGCAGAGAACTAGCTAAAGCAGCCTCACAGTGGTCCAATCACCAGAGAGCAAGAGAGAGAGGGGCAGGCCTTGCTGAGTCATTTATCTCTTTGTCTTCCAATCAAACTGCGACCTTATTGATCCCATATGTTCCTTTTGGCTAGGTTGGCACAATAAACCTACCTATCACACCTTCTGAATCCCAGTATTAAACATCCAGGAAATGGGGCATCTCCCAAAGTAGCTCCTCCATTCCCCGTTTTCTGTGAAGCCATGTTAACTTCTGACCACTCCTCCAATGGCCTGATTTTGCTTCCTCACCCAAAGCCCCTTTTACAAGTAGATTCTAGACCCCATGTCTCATACACTGTGGATTTGGTTTCTGCCCGTTCTCAGATCCGAAGGTCAGAGTTGGTTCACCCAGTGGTTCGTTGTGATGTTGAAGATCATAAGCCACCATTTCTGGGTGATTTGCCTGAGGCTCCAAGGCCCTCCCATGGGTCCTCTGATTTCTCTCTGTGTTTAGATACAGGCATTGGGGGACAGTTACGTGTTCGTGGGATTCCACCTGTGTCAGGATTTGCTTGTTTCCAGAAGCCGTGCCACTTACAGCTGTGTCTTGTCAGTTGCAGGTCTCTCCTGGTGGTGCACTTCTGGGCACCATGGGCCCCACAGTGTGCCCAGATGAACGCGGTGATGGTGGAGCTGGCCCGAGAGCAGCCCCAGGTCTGCTTCGCGAAGGTACTGCTGCTGCTGTTCTGCTGTAGATTAGACTGATGTGTGCCTTGGACCCGGGCGCTCGAATGAGTGTGAGGAGCTCTGTAGATCATTTTGCAGTCGATCATTCTGAACAACCTGAAATAGTCCTGTGTGCAGTGTGAAAACCACCAGACTTCCCCAACACTTCCTCGGGTGGGAGCACGTCGAGTGAGCGGAGGTGGGGTGTGGCCACGGCATGCTGTGGTGGTTCCCCGTGGGTGGCGTGGTTGTGTGGGACTTGCTTCCTTGGAAAGCTGCACCTGGCACAGGTGGGCTGCTAAGGACCCGAGGCGGAGGGGAGGAGTGGGCCGTACCTGGGCCTGGTGAGTGCACACCTGTGCGGGACGCAGCAGGGTGGACTGATCACCTGGGCTCTAGATGTGCGGCCACCTGTGCTTCATATCCTTCTGGGGTCAGCAGCCGAGAGGGGAGAGAGTGTGGCCTTGGGCTGGCACAGCTCTTACAGCACAGGGTACAGGCAACCTGGTGTGACTGGGACCCTTGGGATGGGTTCCTGGAAGGTAGGCAGGCCCAGTGTCCCGAAGGCCCACCGAGCGAGGGCCTTCTGGTCCTGCAAACGAGACCTGGCAGGTGCTGGCAGGCTGACTAGATGAGTGGCACTGGCACGGTGTATGGGCCTGCTGTCGGTGCTCTAAGCAGGCCGGCGCCTTGGTGTCAGCCTCCTGCATTTAAAATCCTGGGGCCTGAGTAATGTGATTCTAACGTGCACCCCACGACGGCCGATGTAAATCATGGTCGGGAACTTCAAAGCTGCGAGTGCGGCTGGTGATAGAAGATCCCGATTACAATCGGAATGAATGATTCAGCGTGTCAAGCCCAAGGTCGATCCAGATCGTGGTGACTGCGGTAGCCCATCTCCTCGTCTAACGTTACCAGTGCAGGTGACAGACTTGTGTGCCTAGCTGCCAGCGGAATGATTTATTTAACAAGGTGATAGCGTTATGTCTCATGTTGGAGCATGCTTGACAGCGAGATTGTAAGTTGTTCAAGTGCTTAAGTGTCTCCGTGAGCCAAGGTGGGGTGTCCTCATCCTTGACTCGGTTACCAGAGGCTGGCAGCACCTGCTGTCCCCTCGGAAGTCCCTCAACAGTGTCGTTTTCCTCCCACGAGGTGTTGTCTAGGGCCAGGCGGTCTCCTTGCAGCCGTTCAGGGAGGTGATGTAAGCGGTCAGGGGCAGAGGGCACGCCTTGCTCCTCTCGTTGGCTGCTGAGAGCTGGTGGAAGTGCCGGGGGTGGCCATGTGATTACTCTGTGCGATGGCCTAGTGGTCAGCATTGTCCTGTGTTCTGGCAGACCTGACAGGGAAGTGGGACTAGTCCGTCTCCCTCTTTGGTTTGCCAAGTCCTTGCGATCGGTGCTGTGGGAGAGGGTGCCTGTGACACTGCATGGCGAGACCTCCCCGTGGCTGTCGACCGCGCCTCTTGCAGGGGACGCCGAGCGAGCGGAGACTTCAGGGAAGTTGGGGACACAGTGTCTGTGGGGGTGGCCTGTGCTCAGCGGGAAGACCACCAGGAAGTTGGGGACACAGTTTTTGTGGGTTGTGTGTGCCCACTAGAACAGGCCCTGAGAGAAGGCTTTCCCACCGCTGCCTCTGAGCCTGCTCCTCCTCTGGGTACTGGGGGCTCCTCTTAAACCTGACCAGCTGGCTGGGGGGATTCCAAGTGATGGGGATGCCCGGGGTAGGGTGAGTGAGCGTGGTGTAGTGACTTCCTGTAGCCACGGTCTCGGACTTCCACCCATCACCTGGACAGGAGCCTGCATATTGGGGGCGTGGGTAGAGTTTCCGTCTCCGAAGCAGAGCGGGACTCTCACGACCCTCCAGAGAGGAGAACCAGGAGCAGGGGTGTGCCTAAGAGCCAGGCAGGCAGTGAACCTCCCTGACCCAGGGACAGGATGCGGTGACCCCAGGGAGGGTCCACCAGCAGAACCCAGAGACAGAGATGAGAATGGTGGCCTTTGTCGGGTCTATAGTGCCATCCCACAGCTGCCTGGCCTTGGCGTGGGAGTGGGCCGCCTCCAGCCACTTAGTTGGGGAAGCTAGGCTTGCCAACCGCCGGGCGAGAACTGAGCAGCTTGAGGCTGAGGCCTGTGGTGGGTGGAGAGGACGTCCCTTGGCAACTTGTAACATTGCTTGCGCAGGGCAGAGGCTGAGGGGCCACTTGGTTGGAAGGCTCAGGACCAGAGAGAGGCCTGCCTGTGGGCATGACTGAGAAAAGGCTGCCGTGACTGAAGAAGCACGGAGTCCCGGGCACTTGTGTTCCTGAATTACAATCTGCGAACTTCTCCAGATAACCCCTGTCTGTGATGATGATCAGTTGGCTGTGTGTGGCCACAGCAATGGATCCTGGGAGAAGTGAGAGGAGGTGGAGGGGCCGTGTGTGCCCTTGGGAGCCAGAACTGGGCCCTGGGCTGACGTGAGCAGACGTGCCACGCGCCACTTTCACAGTGGGAAGAAGGAGTCCCCATCACGAGGTCCGGCAGGAGGGAGAAATCCCCGTGAAGGAGGCCTGGAGAACATCTGGACGCGAGGGGTCTTCCCCCTGTGGGCCAGGATGAGACACCGGGAGGAACCGAATCTGAGTCCCAGGCCAGGCGTGAGGCCATCCGGGAGGCAAGTGGAGCAGCCCTGGGCTTTGCCGGAATGTCGGCGGCGTGGAGAGGACCGTCTCACCCGCAGGCAGCCTGGAACCCCGCCTCGGGCCCTGGCTTCCTCAGGCGAGGTCCCACGGCCCTCCTTGTTGCGGTGGGCTGTGTCTGGCCTTGACGGGGGCTTGGCCCACGGACTCTCTCAGCACTCCCTGCCTCTGGATCCCCCCACTCTCTCCAGACCCTGCACCCCGTAGTTTGAGAGTCGCAGGCCCCTGTCTGGCATACTTAATTCCAGGAAATGGTCACGTTGACTGGGCCTGAAGCTACGTGTAATCACTGCTTTTAATTGTAGTCCTTCTTGATTCTGCTCACTTGCACAGTAAAACCAGCACGTGATGGGAGTGGAAACACCAGGCAGATCGGCTCAGTGCAATAGGTCATCTGATTGCTCGACTGCTGCTTTCATGAGCATCGATTGTGGATCAAAGCCAAAATTGAAATCCTTGACAATGTCATTCTTTCCTCCATCTTGGTATTCTGTACATTTGAGTCGTGATCCACCCTGATCTTCATCAGCAAGTGCTCCAAGTCCTCCTCATTTTCAGCAAACGACTTGTGCCCTCATGTTTATAAGGCTGCGTCCCACCCGCAGGTCTTGTTCTCCACATTGTCCAGCTTCCCAGGTGGTTTGCTCGGGAAACAGACTGATTAAGGATGGTGAGGATGCAACTCTGACGCACACCTTTGCTGCCTTTAAACCAGTGTCCCTGGTTCCATCTGCTTCAGCAGCTGCCGTCTGGTCCATGTGTAGCTTCGGCAGGGGTACCACGAAGTGCCTTGGGATTCCCATCTTCTCAATGCAACCGGTCACTTGTTATGATCCACACAGTGGAAGGCCTTTGCACGGCCAGTAAAACACAGATTAACACCTTCCTGGTTTTCTCTGCTGTCAGCCAAGGTCCGTCTGATGTCAGCAGCGATATCCCTCCTGCCCAGTGCTCTTCTGAATCCGGCTTCCGTATCTGCTGCTGTCTGGATGTACTCCTGCTACCGCTTTAAAGTCATCTCCAGCAAACGTCCTTGCGTGATACTGATGGCACAGCGTGCGACTTCGGGCATTCTGTTGGGTCACCTACCTTTGGGAGGGGTACACGTGGACCTCTGCCAGTCAGTTTGCCTGCTAGCTGTCTTCCACACTTCTTGGCATAGACCAGTGAGCGCTTCCTGTGCTGCAAGAGCTTGTTGACCCTTCAGTGCAGCTTGGATTGCTTCCTTCTAATACTGTTGGTTCTTGACCACACTTTACCTCTTGAGCGGTTGGGTTTCGACCAGCTCTTTTTGATACAGTGGCTGTGTCATCCTTCCATTGTTTTTGGATGCTTCTTCTATCACTCAGTGTCTTCCTTAATAGGACCGTCAGTGCTGCCCTGGAGGCTTGAGTCCCCTCCCTTCTTTCGCTTGAGATGAGCTGGTCCTACCATTTTGGCTTTCACTCCAGGCCCTTGCTCAGCTCCTTGGAGTACTTTGCAGTCTTCGCCAGCAGCCCTGGGAGATGTCGGTTCAGAGCTTCTGCTTCATCATTTCCTTAGCTGCTCGAGCAAGCGTTCGTGTCTCCCGATGTCCGCTCTGGTCTTTTCTTTCTCTGCTGTCCTTTTACTGACCCTTTGCTGTCTTCCTTGTGACTTCTTCGTGTCATCCCCAGCTTATCAAGCCTCCTGTCGTGAGTGCTCGTGTCCAGGTCTGGAGGGATGGGCTTCTCCTGGACTGGCTTTAGAGCCCGGTGGCACAGTGGCTTGGTTACATGTTGGACATTAATTGCAAGGTCAGCAGTTGAGACTCGCCAGCTGTCCTTTGGGGGAAAGACGAGGCTTTCTACCTCCGTACAGAGTTAGGGTGTTGGAAACCCGCCGGGACGGTGCCCCTCTGCCACTGTGCAGCAGAGTTGACTTGAGGAGAGGGTGCTTTCTGGGGGCGGGGAGGGCACCTGTAACATCCGAGCAGCCGAGGGTCTGCTCCACAGCCGGCCCCTGGCCTCGGTCTCACTGCTAACACTGAGCTGCTCCCTCGCCTCGCCCCAGAGATACAGTCTGTTTGATTCCGTGTATCTGCCCATCTGGGGACGTCTGCACGCGTTGTCGTCGTTTGTGTTGTTGATACCAGGCATTTGCAGTGACGCAGTCATTGGTGTGGCCGGATTCTGCCAGTGAGCACTGGCTTCTTTTCTGTCACCAAGGCCAAGCTTTCCACCTGCTCTTCATTATTTGCTTCCAACTTTCACACTCCAGCCGCACTCCTCAGAATGCAGGTCACCCCCGAGAAGTACTTGACCGCGAGCTTCCTGCTTTCCTGTTTAACTGTTTGTTGAACCAAAGACAAAACCAAAGACAAGCTCACTCCGTCAAGCAACTCAATTCCGACTCCTAACCCTGCAGGACAGAGGCTTTCTGAGGCTGTAAGTCTGTGGGATTAGAAAGCTGTCTCTTTGGAACTGCTGACCTTGCACTTCGCCAGGAGGGCTTGGTGTGACAGAGTGCTGCAGAGTTTAGGAGGATGGGGGAGAATTAGGAATCGCTTCACCTGGACCCTGGGGAGACACAGCAGCGCATGAACACGCCAGCGGGGAGAGTTGATGAATACTGTGTGGGGTGACATTGATCTGGAAGTGCAGGGCCCCTTCCTTGTGGGAATGAGGCTCTGGTCAGATGTTAGGTGTTGACGCTCATCCGATGTTATCAGGTGTTAGATGTCAGAACCCACTCGATGGCGCCTTGCCTCCAGGTGGGGCCCTGGTTGTCCCCTGGTTAGGCCCTGGGCTTCCAGAATGGATGCAGTGGCTGTTGGAAGCTGCCCCGGGCTCCGCAGCAGAGAGGCCTGGTGCCCCCTCTCCCCCCCCTTGGAGATAGCCACCTTGGACAGACCCTGTGTGGCCAAGGTCCCTGAGCTGGGTTATCTCGAGCTCCCCACCCCATCAGCACCCTTTGCTCCCCCAGCATAGCTGTCAGTAAGCAACAGGAAGGGATTGTGCTATGGGCATACCTGTGACAGGAGGGTACATACGTAACAAGGTGGGTGAGTTCTAGAGTTAAACGATGGTGACTTAACCTAGGTCCTCCCGAGCCAACTTGAACTTACCTGTCCTTGAGCGCTTCACCAGCAGAGCAATCTATGATTTTTATCAGAAGGGAGTGGGCCGTACTTAGGGTTAGGTGGTCTGATTGCTTTTAATGGCAGAAAACCTTCCGGCAGATAGCCTTTAAGCAGTTACCCTTCAAGGATACAGCGGCCACACTGTGCTTGCAGGCAGCACCTTAACATTGGCCTTATTACGGGGACCGTCGAGGGGGCAACGTCAGTTAGGAGAATGTGACAGACGCATCTCAAGCGCACGAGCGTGAAGGCTGCCTTCCACCAGAGTCTGCTTCCTGGACTCCTTACACAGGAGCGGAGGGAGTTTTCCGCACACACTCTTCCTGGTTCTCAGCTTTCCGCAGGACGGCCGATCTGCTCCCATCGGGACTCTCGCCTGGAAGGCCCTTGGAGGGTCGGAGGCGATGCCCAGGCAGGGGGTTTGCCTCTGGTTTTATCCTGGCTCTTCTCAGCGTTGCCCTCCCTGGGCTTGTGTTAGTGTGGTTTCCTGCCTGGGGTGGCATTGCTGGAAGAAGAAGATGGCAGTGAAGTGCCTCTCACTGCAGACGGCGTCTCCCCTGCTCCCCGCTGCCACTCTGGACTCGAAGGAGGAAGCTTGGGGTCACTGCACATGGTGCTTGCCGGCTTCCCCACGTCGATGACAGCTCAGGTGGGGCAGTTTCTAAACCAGAGCCAGAGCCCCCAATGCTCCGACTGGCTCCTCGGTGAGCTGTGCTCGCTGCCTGCCTCTGCCCCACCTTCCTGGACGGGCGGGAGAGTGATGTAAGAAGGATGGAATTTTCACATAAAGACCTCGTGGGAAAGTGGGACGAATTGAAGGTGTTAGGGGGTGTTAGGGAGATGGAGCCAAGAAACACAGGTCGTGAATGTGCTGGGTCCCTAAGCTGGCAGGTAAGGACTGGCCGAGTGCCTGCCTCAGCAGCGCACCCTGAGCGGTGTGTCCGTCCTCCAGAGCCCTGCCGTCCGGGTGCACTCGGGGGACTTCACACCATTCTGTCCTTCATGCTTGGCCTGTGGCCATCATGCAAATCCCGGTGTTGTTGGTTTCAGCAGGGTCATGTCAGCCAAGATAGAGGGCCACGTACTCCAGGCCGGCTTCTCCTGGCATGTTGTGCACGAGGGCCATCGTCACTGGCCTCTGGGCAGGGGGTGCCCTTGTTGGAGAGAGCACCCAGCAGCCGTGCAGGGCTGAAAGTCTGCTTTCCCCTCCGCCAGGGTCTCGGGAAGGACCGTCCCCTGCCCGTTCCCCTGCCCGTCCCCTCTCCCCCCTGCCCGTCCCCTCTCGCCTCCAGGAGCTGGTCTCCAGAGTGGGCAGCCCACTGCGGGCAGGGAGAGCGTGTCACCAGCACGGGGTGGGCTGGGTCATCTGGACGGGGTGGGCTGGGTCACCAGGACGGGGTGGGCTGGGTCACCAGGCCACCCCAATTCCCTCCCCACCCCCAGCCTCTGGGCGCCTTCTGCTGTGTGCATGGACACTGCCTGACCGATGGGGCCGGGGCACAGTGGTGCAGGGGGTGGGGGGTGTGCGCAATGGCAGGACCCCCTTCCGCAGCTCCCCACACGCCTGTCTTGCAGCTGGAAGCCGAGGCTGTTCCGCAGGTGTCTGAGAAGTATGAAATTAGCTCCGTTCCCACCTTCCTGTTTTTCAAGGTAAGGACAGGTGGCTGGAGCTAGTGGGCATGGGGGGCTGTCAGGGTGCAGCCAGGGCTCTGGAGAGGTGACAGCTTGGGGCCCCTCAGTTGGTGTCACAGCTGTAGGCGCAGCATGGTCCCCGGTTAGCGCAGGAAAACTCTGGACACTGTGTCCCTTCGGCTGCTTTTGACCCGATGGCCGCCTCACTCAGGAAGCGGGTGCAAGTCTGGCCTCCTTTCTGCCCTGCCCTCTGGTGCCTTTCCAGTTAAGGGCAGAGCTGGTTTGGGTTGGGTGAGAGTGTCCCTCCCCTTGTCTGGTGGTGGCAGCCTCTGTTGGACCCCTTGAGCCCTGCTGTGGGGGTCGCATGTTCCCTGAATGTCTTGGCTGCTTCAGAATTCGCAGAAGATTGACCGGTTAGATGGCGCGCATGCCCCAGAGCTGACCCAGAAAGTCCAGCGACACGCGTCCTCCAGCGCCCTCCCACCCAGCGCCAAGGGTCCCCCGGTAGAGGACCTGCACCGGCGCCTCCAGAAGTTAATCACTGCTGCCCCCTGTATGCTCTTCATGAAGGGGACCCCCCAGGAGCCGCGCTGTGGTGAGATGCCCACGCCCAGGGGGAACTCTGAAGGGGGCACAGCGGGGTGGGGTGGGGTGGGGTGGGGTATGCTCAGGTGGCTCTGCGGAGGGGGAGGGCTGCCTTCCCCATGGAGTTTATTATGATGGTCAGAATTAGTGCCCTGGAGAAGGGTCGGAGAAGGAAGTGGGTTTGCCCAGTGGCTGCAGCTGTGGGCTCAGACACACGGCAGGGCGGGCAGAGCATGAATCTGTCGGCCAAGACACCGCTCTCATGGACTGGGAGCTGCCAGGGGTCTTAAGCGTCATCTCCGCCCTTCACGAGCCTCAACCTGGAGAGACAGCGGGGGCCCCCCTCCCGCCCCCCGTCCCTGGCTGGTAGCGCCAGCCTGCCACACTGCAGCCCTCTGTCTCCCACAGCCTGGCCTAGCCTCTCGGCGCACAAGCTTGCTCTCCTCACCCCCTGCGCCATCCCTCGCACCGCTGGTCGGGTGTGTGCGCCTCTGTCCGTCCATGGCTCTGTGTGTGTGCGTGTGTGTGCACGCGCATGCGTCGGTCCGTCCATGGCTGTGTGTGCATGTGTGTGCGCGCGTCTGTCCATGGCTGTGTGTGCATGCATGTGTGTGCATGCGTGTGTGCGTCAGTCCGTCCATGGCCATGTGTGTGTGCTCGCGCACATGCACACGCACGCATGTATATCCGCCTGTCCCACGGCAGGTGGCCATGCTCCCTTTCAAGCTCATTTGGTTCCGGAGCCGGTTGGGGTGGTGCGCAGGCCGCCCTAGGGTCCCGCTGGGTTCTTGGTATCATGCCCCATACAGCCTCGCTCGGCTGTGTCCCTGAGCAGTTAGTGCCTCTATGGGGGATGCGGGGCCCCGCGAGCGTGGTGTCCAGGACACGCACGGGGGCCTGACAGAAGCTGTGCCTCGGGCTCAGGTGTGGGCTTCAGCAGGGTAGTCCTTGGGGGCTGTTTGACGTCCCTCACAAAAGCCAGCAGACCTCACGGTCAAGCTAGGTCACCTCCTCTGAAGTAAATCGCGATTGCGCTCGAGTGTGTGTGTGAGAGAGAGCGAGAGAGCATGAGCACACGAGAAAGAAGTTAAACTATTCTTTTTCTGCTTCCAGGTTTCAGCAAACAGATGGTGGAGATTCTCAACAAGCACAACATTCAGTTCAGCAGCTTTGACATCTTCTCGGACGAGGAGGTCCGTCAGGGGCTGAAGACCTACTCCAACTGGCCCACCTACCCTCAGCTGTACGTGTCCGGAGAGCTCATAGGGGGGCTGGACATCATCAAGGTGAGCATGGGGCTGGGAAGCCCTCCCAGGCCTCGCTCTGGCTCCTTGTGAACTGGGTGAGGGTTTGCAGAGCAGCCCCCGGCGTACACAGCCCAGTCTGCCCGCTTTGTCTGTCTCATCCCCCCGGTGTACACAGCCCACAGTCTGCCCGCTTTGTCTGTCTCATCCCCCCGGTGTACACAGCCCACAGTCTGCCCGCTTTGTCTCTCATCCCCCCCGGCGTACACAGCCCACAGTCTGCCCGCTTTGTC